GTTGGTTGGCAAATTTAATTTTTATTCACAAAAATCAACATAGCCTCGGAAGGTCATTTTGATAGCAAAGATCCAATATAAAAACCATCTCGATCTAGTGAATTTACTCAAAATTTACTAATAGACTCTCGATATAGTAAAGAAAATTTCACAGCCCGATCACTTCACTATAACGAGTGACTTTTATTTACTTAGAACACTAAGATATGCAGGGGTATATAAAAACAGGGGCGACGATCTGCATTACGTATAAATATTCTTTATCGCAATCTTTGACCTTTTAACAATTATCATAAACATGGCAGATCCTGGAAATTCAAATACTCTCAGAAGGGGTGAACCGTATAGTTTCCAGCTTCCGACTCCTAATATAACCGCTTTTGAGGAAAGTTCTGAGCCAGCATCTTTTGCAGGAGGCCCGATTAGGCACCGCAAAAAACGTAATCATACAAATACGCCGTATACGCGAGCTGCTAGTTCACCTAATCCGAACCCTCAAGAGACTCATTGGCTATTGCGCGTTGTTAAAAAATATATTCCGCAGTGGTTGAGAGCAATTATATGGCCCACTGCAACACCCACCATTCCCAACACTGAAGATACATCTATGGAAATAACAGCCGAAAATGAAACGATCGCAGAGAATATTGTGCAAAGTTCTATAGAAGAACTAAACAATGCAATGGTGAAACGTGAAGAACCTTACCAACCATCACAATTGGATACAATAACAAAAATGAATTTAAAAAGCAAGTTTAACAGATCAAATTCAAAAATTGCCGCAAGATTTGGTCGTAGGATGTACTCAAATCCTCTGCATAGGCGAGGAACTATTATTCCTAGGAAAAGGGGTAATCATGTTTCAGCACGTGAAGAGGATCTACTTTATCCAGATGAGATAAATGATTCATTATCAGATAAAGAACTATCCCCTGAAATACCAGCAGATTGGTATAAACCTTTCAAGAATTTAGCTGTTAATGATTCATTTTCAACTTCTTCATCGGGAACATCAACGCCTTCACAAGAACCAGACATAAGTAAAAAGTCTTTATCTCAAGGACCACCTCTTAAGAAATTTAAATCAGATCTTGTTCCAGATGTAAATTGGTTTAACTATCATCCTTCAGAGAAGGTGTCCATTCCTGCAAGTTCGACATCAAAAAATCAAAATATTTCATCCGATGACAATTTGCCGAAGGTTCCTATTGTTAGTTCCTTGCCCCCTCCTGTTTCTAAGCCAGATGATTCAGAAAAATACCTGAATAATGATGTTGAAGAACTTAGTACTACCCCTTTGACACTGCCGAGATTCGCTCAAATTGTCGATCACAAAATGAAAAACGAACAATACTATAGTGAAACAAAGAAGAAAATTGATTTTTCTGCAAGTATATCAGATAACACTGTTTCTGCTTCCACACCACTTATTTCAAAAGATATCTTATCGGTCAGTACTCCTGTTAGTAAGCCAAAAAGATCAATTTTTTCTACTACACCGACGACTAAACCTCTTTTTGGATCTGGAAGCGGAATTTTAGCATTCAACAAATTACAGGAGCCTTCGGATGTACTTTCTGATACAACGATGCTTAAACCTATTTTTGAATCTGGAAGTAAGACTCAAACAAACTCAAACTTAGCTATTAACACATCGATTAAATCAGTTACTGGATTTGAGAACAAAACTCTTGACTTATTTAGTCTACTACCAAAACCTTTGCCTAGCACTTTCTCTGTTCCAGCTATTTGTAAAGATCAACGAGAACAGCCACCAAAAGCAGTTGTCGCCGATTCTATTGATGTGGAAAAACAGGGTTCCATTGACCAGAATGTTGACAAACTTGAAGAGAAACAAGAGGAAATTTCCAATGTTACTGAACCAACTGTAGTTAATATTGAAACCGAAAAGGCAGAAACCGAAAAGACGGGACTCATTGAAGTTCAACCTGAGCCTGAACCTTATACAATCACGAGTGTGGAAGGAAGTAAAGACGAGAAAGATAAGGAGGAGGAAAAGGGAAAGGAGAAGGAAAAGGGAAAGGAAAAGGGAAAGGAAAAGGAAAGTAAAGCAGAGAAAGAAAATAAGGATGAGGATAAAGAAAATAAGGATAAAAAAGATAAAGACTTTTTACTTATGTCTGGTTCTTGTGAAGGCGT